CAACATTTATTGTACTTCAGAAAGTAATTGGACAATACTATTGTTTAACTGTCGAATAAACTTTTATCTTTTATGTTGTCAAAATTTTTATATTTACCTCTAAATTATATATATATATATATATATATATATATATATATATATATATAGACTTTCAATAGAGTTCTACTGCAGTTATTTCATCCTAGGAGTAACTGGCTATAATCATTATTCTTTACACAATAAGTTTAACTCATTGTCAAGTAGGAGGGAAATTTTTTTCGGTTAGCTGATCTGAGTTCAAAATTAATAATTTAAAACAATCGCTGTTTGACAGACTTTTATTTATACTCAAGTTTTACATGAAACAAGGAGGTGACGACACTTTCCAATCTTTTTATATACAGAATCAATTAAAGTGTTCACTAACTGATTGCATAATCGATTTAAGATAACTTCATTGATTGAAGAGATTAGTAAGTAAAATAGCACAAAACCTAGGTCAGGCGGGGCTTCCTGTGGCCGATTGCCTCCGATCATCTATCATCAACAATTTAGAGTGCACCGTGATGATGAGCTACCTAGAATGGTGGTCACATTGCAAACCTGACTGACTGATAGAATTCAGTCTGCACCAAAGAAAGGACTAGACGCCAGACACTAGTTACTAGTGTCCAGTCAAAGATTAGTAGACCGAAAATTTCAATTTACACTATTTGACAACATAACGCCCAACACCACCGCCACCACAATCTAAAACTTGTTTTAATATAACAGTAACTTGACGTGAATAATTGGAAGGAACTGATCATTAATTTTATCTAATTGACGAATTTCAACTAAGGACTTTAAAGTTGGAGTTTCATGTCTGTTTATTTTTGTCTTGATAAATCCAAAAAACGACAGATAGGCATTTTGAATGAGTAACTGACGTACAGTTTCAATGTCCAATTCTCAAAAACAATCACCGCATTAATTTAATAAAACTTACATTTTTATTCTACAGTTAAGATAACAAACAATCTCTCATAACTACGAGTGTTTGTTTCTTCTGTAATCAGAGTACTTTTCGTTCGCTATTAAAGGATTACAGTAATTACTGATAGGTTAAGATATTATGGCTTTACTATTACAGTATCTATGATATTATAATGGCTCGGTGGTGGCGAATATTTGAAGAAGAGGAAAAACAAGCTATCTAGGGCTTCACTATCAGTTAGTCTACTGTTTTGATATTGAAATTGTTATTTTTTCTCTACTTAGATATATTAACGGGTTATTTGATGGACGAAACCGAACTAGGCTGATACTAATTAACCTACCAAAAGTATATGGATACATTGATCTTGTTATAAAGTCAAAAAGTAGTGGGATGTAGGGACAAGTCAAGTGTATAAAACTTCAAGAATGTTACGTATTTTACATAACTACAAGTTACGTCAACAGAAGTAATTAAATAGTATGACGGAGTGGCTCAATAAAGCATTTATCCAAATACTAGGCTATGAAGTACAACGTATATGTTGTACGGGGTTAGTTAAGCTACTAGCTGGTTGTCAGATCAAAGTTTATGGGGTGGGGTGGGGTGGTGGTACAGATTTGGATCCAAGTGTTGAAGACACTGAACCAAGACCTCTTGAGATCAAAGATAACTGAATTGCATACTATATCTTAAGATAACCATGAAAACAAATTAGTAATCAAGGCTATTTTGTAAGTATTATTATACGATTTCTTCATGCACACTACACTTATAAGTAATCTTTGAATCAGCTGTGGAAATGCATTTTTTTTCTTGTACTAATACAACATTAATATCTTCGTCGGAATACAATTCATGAATTTAACTGGAAAATTATTAACTAAGTCTAAGTCTTGCCTAAGGGTAGTGTTCTCTCCAGTGATATATACATAAACACTAAAAGACATAACGCATTACTGTCAGAAAAGTACAGAAAATATCTTCACCATGAGAGTATTCAGTAAAACCTTTTTATCTAAGATGTGAATTAGTCTAAGAATGAAACTGCTCCCTTTTCTCTACTGGCACAGGAAGATAAAGTAGTGCCTAATCAGTGTCTTTCTAGTTAGGATAATGAGTGGACAGAGATATTGACTGTTTGTTTGGTGAGCATTTTGATGTGTAAAAAGGCAACTGAATCGAACCTAATAAAAATGATACCATCAGGTCTAGAAAAATTTTCTTGGAAAATGAATAGTAGACAAATATTTAGATATAATTTTCATATCAAGAAGGATCGGATACATTAGTACATGTAGAAAATTATATTTAAATTAGTTTTGCAAATAGCTATCGATAAAAGTGAATATAAACCAGAGATTGTAACTTAGTTTCTGTTCTGCAGAAGGTCAACACTTAAACAATCAAAGATGTAGTAATACTGACATTAGAAAGCTACGTAAGTATAAAACATAACAAAAAAACCAACTTCACTCCAAGAAATTTATTTTTCAAAACAACCTAGCAGCTTTTCCCCTCAACCTGAAGGTATCAAGTGAGAAATGAAAAGAAAATACTTCACTTATTTTTCAAGATGAGTTTTAGAAAGGTAAGTCCAAACATACACAGAACAAGGGACAATGGAATGGTAGACAACTTTACTTTCTGTCGTCATCCTGAACCATTGCTATTACAAAGTTTTAATCAAGACATTCATCGAGTTTCAAAGTTGTCTGCTACATAAGTTAAAAGCGTACATGGATTTACTTAGCTAACAGTTGTGACAAACACAGAGCTGTTTAGATGGATGAATCATTCAGCATACACAGAATAAATGAAATGCGCGTTACTGGTAATGACCCAATCTAAAACATTTACAACAATTCTGTAATGATCAGCATTACCCTATCATCTTTGATTCATATGTCACTACAAAAAAAACGTTCTTGGGTCACTAGAACACACTAGAACTGGTAATGCTTAATTTATATCCTTTTGCTTCGATTGAAGTAATCAAGGTCAGTCTGCAGGTAAAAATGCAAAGTTTCAATTTGAAGACAAAGACTGTCGCTGTCTCTAAAATCTTGACGTCTTACTAATTCAACATGGAGTAATCCTTTGCTTCATTTTATAGTAGGGGTAACTAAAGACAATCTGAAAATTCTGAAATCCTTGATAATGTATGCATGTGTATTTAACTTACTACAAAATGAACTCATGACATTTCATTACACCCAGAATATTCATTAGCTTATGACATTAATAGTTACTTTTTCATGTGGAATAATGAAATTGGATAAGATTTAAACTAAATTAAAGTACTCAGCAGTATTTTACTCGCAACGAAAAGGCATGCAAAACAATGTAGAACATGAGATAGTTTGCGTTTCACTCATAAATAAGGCGGTATAATTGCAGTGTTAGCTAGATGTCTCATAAATTACTGGAAAAAAAGACCCTGGATAAATTCTTATGTATGAAACGAACTGATAGTTTAGGCTGTGAAAGCTGATGTAAAAAGCAAAGAAAATAAAGTCAGCAATAAAACTTAAAATACAGCCGTTCAGAATCTTATTTGGACAGTCTTTCAAACTGTTAAAAAGGAATTTATTGTTGATTGCTATCATTTAGCTCATCAAATGCTTTGATGGAACTATGGCTGATTGGTGTAGTAGTTCCTCACTTAATTTAATTTAATCAGTGACATGGAAACATGAATCCCACTTCAGTTAGATGTCGAAACCTCTCAAAATGACTTAAGCTGATGTGTACAAACAACATATTAGGGCTAACTAAACATATCTAAGTTTTAAGCAATCAAATGTAAAGGAATAGAATACAGCTCAGTAACTAACAGATAAAACCATGTAATCTTGGGAGGCAAAATCACGTTTGAAATCTTCAGAGATGTACATAACAACATGATATGGCCGATTCCTACTTTGATTTCTTTCTGTCTTCAGTGTTTTAACCACTAGGTGGTTACTTCTTTATGCTTCCAAGTGACTGCACACAAATAAATGGAATAGACAGTAGATGACCAATTAAAAAGCATTAATACACAAGTTCTACGACACAGAATTGGATGTTATATGTCTAGTGATATGCAGTTCGTAAGTATTATGAAGTCCTTGTCTTTTATTTATTACATAACCACGATTAGATATTTAGAAACAACGATAAAATAAGCTACCATGCTAATGCTTTCTTCTAAATTTGTCTTTAGCTAGTTAAGAGTTTGAAATAAAACCGATACACGGGAAAAGACACCTAAAGTATGTGACAAGTCTGTAATCTGACTTGTTTGATTTGCTGTGTGTGACACAGAAATGTAATGGGAAATATTTTCTCTACAAGCAATCACTATAGTAGATCGTCATTTTCGGGTGCACAGGAGTGCATTTTGTAATAGCACAGGTTTTTAGATGTGATGTGTCCCTCGGGTAGTGCAACAAAGCAACAAATACGCTGCCGAATATCGAAAGTGCTGAATGACATTCTCACTTAACTACTAAAGACAGTCTTACAGACTCCTGTTGGAAATAATCTATGTCCGTGAATAGATAAACCCAGGACGACTAAATTAGCTAACCATCAACATGACGAGTTACCTTGTGGTAATTATACTGATGCGACAGGCAGATATCAGTGGTAATTCCAAATGACCTGACTACTTGTGAACACCTTACTTTAGACTACATAAATGCGTGAATATTTTGTTGACCAAATTGTAGACTCCATTAAAGAACACGAGTTCCGGGTGTGGAATGAAACTCTGAATCCTAGTGACTCCCCTTATGCTTTATTACTGTCCAAAAATTAAGGCGTGGTTTCCGAAATTCATAAAATATGCTAATGATGTTGAACAGAAATACTACTGTCATGAACAGGAATAAATACACATGTAATACAAAAGTGTAACAACAAATGAAAAAAACACGTTGATACTACATCGCTTCGGTACACATGATTACATTTCCATGCGGCAACAAAGATATGATGATCATAAATTTGTTAACAGATTTTATAATTACAAAAAGTACAATAGATGTTAGCTTACTTGAGTCTCGCTCTCAATAACTAGTCTGACTTTATCTTCTGTCAGATTTTCAGATGATTTCTGTTGTTCTTCTTCCTCTCCTTCATCTTCATATACCTTGACTTCATCCGTACACGCCAAATTATCAGAAGCAGTGGAACTTAACATGATTAAAGTTTTAAATCATAGTATTTAACAAGACATAACTCCGATTAATTTATGAAAATATGAGGGATTTTTTCATATTGTTTATATGCTTTTTAATTAATGGGAAACATTCCAACACGAGTGAGTACTTTTAGCTTGCGAGTCGAGCGGAATCTGCATAACCTTTTTCTAGGTTAGCATTAACTTTAATCCGTTCATTGATTCAAACAAACAGGCAATGTATCTTACAAACTCAATGTCTTTAAAACACTTAAAAGCAAAATAAATCTATAACGAATAAAAAATAACTTTTAGGATACAAATTTATTGTTTGAACTGTTGAAATTGCTAAAACTGCGATAAAACACAAATTTCAACCTATATGAAGTCTTCAATACACAATATCCAATGTCGTTTTAACGAACTAGTATAAACCAATTTGGTTCCATCGCTCTCGCCTCTTGATTGTGGGGTATAGGTTCCTGATTTTCGGCAAACTTCTGCAAGCTCGTCCAATCACTTGACTGCCGCAGCTTTGATTTACTCCAAAAGGAGTAGTTTCTTATCTTTGATTACAGCTTGATTCTACTCTGTATTTTTTGTACAAGTATGGAATTTTCGGCATGGATATCGGTAGCCCAAATTTTTCAGGCCGACCATAGATATGAGGTGTGTGTCGGTAGAGGATCGAACTTCTGAGCATGTGGATGGTCGGCGAGAGCCCTAACAAATTTGCCACTGACGCTGGGGTTCATTATAGGTCGTTTGTAGTATGAGGTGTGTTAAGACTGTTAGTGCTGTGAATGGAGTGGGCCATTTCACCAGTTAGTCCTCCGGTATCGTCGTCAAAAGAAAAGACATAATAATAATGATTGATATGATTAGTGAAGTTATTCAGACTAACAGATAGAAAAAGAAATAAGAAAACGCAACAACAGTCGGTTGATTAAATTTGAAGAATAATATCAATAATATATACATATATCGGTAATTATTATTTCCCTTAATTCCTAGAGGAACATAGGGCTTCAGCCGCGCGTCTCCATTGCTTTCGGTTCTCTGCCAACGTCTTCACCGCGCTCCAAGTCTGTCCGCATGCTTTCATCTCCTCTTCACGTTACCTCCTCCTTGTCACCCTCATACTGGCGACCAACCCGCCGCTTCCCTTTCGGGTTACACTCAAACGATGGCTTGTCTGGTGATGTCACTTGATGGCTTCCTCAGAGTATTGCCAATCCGTCTCCACCTTTTCCTGCCTATTTTCTGCACAATCGGTTCCTGGTTAGTTCTCTCCCTATTGCTGATCTTTTCTGGCCATTGAGGGAAGACAGTTGTTAATGAAGGTCTGAAGTTTGTTGGAAATCCTCTTAATGACGCGCTAGCCCAAGTCTCTGAACCGTATAGTAGCAATGACTGACTTCACATTGGGTTTAAAATTCCGGATCTTATTTTTGATGCTGAGTGCTGTTGACCTGCACACAGACTTAAGAGTAATGAAAGCATGTCTTGCCTTTTGGATTTTTGCTTTGATATCCACGTCACTTCCACCTGTAGTTGAAACGATGCCTCCCAGTTAGGGAAAGAAGGTTGTTTCTCTCAGGCTCCTCCAATTTAAGGTGATTGTTGTCTGTTGTTGCTGCTGCTGGTGTTAGCCAGGAATCTTCATTACTTCTTATATCAGTAATAGTGAAAACAACAATAAGTGTAGTTAAAGCTGTCGGGAGAGTAAGACGGGAGAGAGTGCTAAGAATTAAAACCACGAACTTAGCTGTCTACCCCTGAATGGTGTATGAGATATAAGGGGATGGGCCATTTGGACGCAGTTCATGTGCCGCTGCATGATTGTCAAGCTTTTGCTTGAAGGTGTCCGCAGACGGTGCCATAGCTTTATCTGCTGGCAAGGAGTCCGGGAACGGCACACCCTTAGTGAAAAGAAGTAGGAGAGCACTCGAGTCCTTGCCCTCTGATGAGCTATCCTTAAAAGATTTTCACGAGGAAGCTCATACTTACTTAATGGCGGAGCACCGTTTTTGTGTGATGCTGATCATTCGTTATCTTGTAGGCAGTAATTAAATCCTCCCTAAGCCGATGGTATCTAAGTGCGAATAGGCTTAATTTCTTCAGCCTTTCATCATACAGTTTATTTCGGAGATTCACCGCTCCTTTTGTCTCCCGTCTCTGGACTCTTTACATAGGGTTTACGTCTCTTCTAAGCAGTAGGGATATTGTGATATTGTGCACTCCAAGGTGTGGTCTTACGTATGTTTTGTACAACCTTAGAAATAGCTAAGGAGTGGGTGCACCTAACTGTCTATGTGTAAAGTGTATGACCGCATATTCCCTCGCCACGTCCCCTGTGTAATTTGCGCCTGTGTCCATTTTCTCCGTTAGAACTAGACCTAAGTCTTCCTCCGACGTTGTGCAGGACAAGCTTTCATTGCATAGGATGTAACTTGCATTCTGCAGTCTACAGGTGCGTAGTTTCACCAATTTGCACTTTCTCAGGTTGAAAGTCATGCCACTGGTCACCTCCCAGTCTTTCAGAAGGTTTAGATCTTCCTGCAGCCTATCTGAGTCCTCTGGACACTTCATGGCCTTCCACATCCTTGCGTCGTCAGCGTGTAGAAGAGTCGGGCAGCTAAGGCGACATGGTAGATCATTGATAAAAATCAAAAACATCAGTGGTCTTAGGATAGAATCCCGCAACACTCCCGATGACGGGCCGTGCCAGCTACGTTGTCCTTCAGCCATGACAGAAGCGGCCTGACCTATTTTGTGCAGGAAAAGGTCATGTTGAACGGTGTCAAAAGCCTTCTCAAAGTCTATGAAGACTACATAGACTGGAACATTCATATCCCAGTATGATGTCCGATCGTCCCAAGCTGATAGTAGGTTCGTTATACAGGATCTACTTTTCCTGAAACCATGTTTGGCATCATGGAGTCTATTAGTCCCATCGAGGTGCTCCCTGATTCGATCATCAATTATACTTTCCAATTCCTTTGATACCGCTGGGAGTAGAGCTACTGGCCTATAACTAGTGCCATTTCGCCTGTCCCCACCCTTGAAAACCGGAGAATGGACTAGGCTAGACAACCATGCAGCGATACAAGGACTGCATCCAAATGGCCTATCTCCTTAAAATCGCATTTACCAATCAGGGTAGATAATTAAACTCGTCATTTTACTTCTTTACATTCTCTCCCGTCTTACTCTCCTGACAACTTATGAATATTATAATTACTATTATTATTATTATTACTATTACCGATATATATATTATTCTTCTAACTTAATGAGTTGACTGTTGTTACGTTTCCTATTTTCGTTTCTGTCTCTTAGTCTGAATAGCTTCACTAATTATATCTATTATTATTACTAGTATTATTTTTATTACTATCTCTTTTCTCTTGTCGACAATACCGAAGGACTAACTGGCAAAAGGATCAACTCCAATCACAGTAGTAACAGTCTTAACATACCTCATACTACATACCACATATAATTAATCCCAGCACTACTCCCTTTGGAGTCAACCAAAGCTACGACAGTCGAGTGGCGGGACAAGCTACGCAGAAGTTTGCCGAAGATCAAGAACCTATACCTCACAATCAAGAAGCGAGCACAAAGAAATCAAATTGGTTTATACTAGCTCGTAAAAACGATAGTGGATATTGGATATTTAATTACATATTTTGGATTTCAAAGCTTTGGAAAAATGTCAGAAACATTATGCGTCGTTGGCGAGGAAATCTGAATGGTGGAAAACTAGAACTGTTTGAAAATGACCTTGAAGGAAGTTTATATATCAATCTTAGTGAATATGAAGCTACGAAGCAAAGAATGACTCTCTATGGACATGTGGGACCTGGAAGAGGAGAGAGCACTGGTGAAAAATAAGTCGAACCAGTGCAAACATGAAAAAAGGAACGGTAAGCTGCGGTCAGTCTACAGCGAACGGAAGAAAAGAGTGAAGGAAAATGGAGGGAAAGACAAAAGGAAAAATTACGAAACAATGGCAACTAAAACAGAATAGGCTGCAGGTAAAGAAGACCCTGGGACAACATGTCACAGAGCCATGTGTCTATCCGTAAGAAGTTCAGCGTAGATGAAACTGATGAAAGGCAGTGCAGGAAACCTGATCATCAAGAAGTAAAGACAGAAGAAGTAATTAGCAAATTGCTGCAAAAGGCTCTGAAGCAACCGCAACTCACCTGGAAATACTATCTGCAGCCAGCGAACTGCCACTGGAAAAAGTATTCCGTCAAAAACAAGGGCCTTAAAAAGCATACGGTTACTAGAAGCTACGTAGGTAGCCGAATCATTCACTGAAACAGTGAAAATAAATCAAGACACCCCAATCCTAATTAGCTGCGAACGAACTAAAAGACTGCGTTGTCTCATACCAGGCACAACATGAGCGAGGCTATGAAGGGTGGTGTCAATGGAGTTGAAGATTGAACGATCAATTCTTGGTTGTTTGCCTAAAATCAACTTCCCCAATTTTCGCGGAGGCATCAATACGACAGTCATCGTCTCATCGGTCGCTGTTCAGAAAGAAGAGTGAAACATCGTCAGAAGTAATACAATGATTTATTATTGTAATATTTGTTTTCAGACCTTAGTTCACTTATTCTTTTTATATGTTGGTGTAACAATAAAGAAATATCAAGCGGCAGATCGGTGTTTTGGTTTTTTCGTCCGTTATAACTAAGCGTTTCTGAAATCTTCAAGGAACAGCGTGGGCCCGAGCGTAGCGAGAGCTGGGCATTAACGGTTTATGAGACGTGATTGACAGTTTCTGACGATAGAAACAGATCTGGCGGATTCAAACAGTTGGTGAAAGTTTGGATAGTCGCCGTTCATTTTTCCTGGTGCCGGTCAAGTCCTCTTTGAACAAGCAATATCTGGAACTTTTTTGGAATTGGGTCAAGTTCAACAATGCCTGGGTCAAAGAAGGGACAGAGTGTCTTGGATGCAAACAGGAAAGTAAGTCATGGTGACTTGTCTGTTAATTGTAACGATGTGTCTGATGTTAAGCATGACATGGTTGATGTTACTGTTTCGCCGTTCAGGGATAATAGGAACATCAAACTCCCTAAATTTGAACCACGGTGTTTTGATGGAAACCCTGTCGATTATTTACAATTTGTAAAGGAGTTTGAGATCATGTTGAGTGGTTTTTTATTAAATGATGAATTGAAGTTAATGT